GAGTGCCAGCACGGTTGGGTTCTGGTGAAGCCTTCTTCTGGGTTGCAGACTGCTGTCTTCTTGTATCTTCACATGGTAGAAAGAGAGCAAGAGAGCTCTCTGGGGGTCCCGCTTTTTAAGAGCACTAATCTATTCATTAGGGCTCCACCCTCCATATCTAATTTAATTCCCAAATGTCTCATCTCTTAATACCATCACAGTGGGGATTGAGATGTCAACAAATAAATTTTGGAAAATACTAAGATACTGTCCATTACACCATCGTTAACGTCTTCCAAAGTGGCTCCAATCATTGACGTTTGCAGCCAGTTACATGAAAGCTGAAAAGACGTAGAGGACAGTGAATTTAATTTTATGCAAATCATAAATAATTTGTATACATAACTCTGTACATGGCCACACTCAAATGTAAGGAATACTAGGAAATGTAGTCTTGAGATTGTCAGTCTCTCTTATTGAAAGAAAAGCCAAATGGATTTTGGAACAGCTTGAAGTCTTCTGGGGCCCAGCCCTCTCATCATCCAAATATGAGCGAATACCCGTCTTCTCATTCAAACAAACAAACATAAAAAAAGATACCTACCTTCTGCTTAAAAGAGAAAATCCAAGTTCAATTCCATTTACTGCAACCAGATCAAAATCTAGAGTCCAGGAAGATTAGGTCTTCATATAGTTCTTTCAAGTCTCACAACCTATAAAATGATAGACAGAATATCTTTCTTGTTCTTGACCTTCTTCCCCATACAAAATATGCAATATAAATTAGTGTAAAAGGAACAGAATAACAACAATAGAAAGGTCCTTTGGGGAACACTCCACAGGCAATAACAGTTACAAAATCCTGCTAAGCAGAGCTTAAGAGGCATCTAAGCAACAGCACTGAAATAAATTTTTTGGTGAATGCATCTGGCAACCTTGGTTCTCTTTTCTGGGAGTTAAGCCAGATTTAGCAGAAGGTCTTTCCTTATCCTTATGGATAAATGGTCTTATCTCTGGGCATATCTGAAATGATTAAAGTAGAGCATGCCCTCATTGGGACTTCACAATTTTTGCAACATGCTTCCATACATGTTTGGGGACCAGGGTTGCCCCTGGGATTGTATATTTTAGCAAAGTCTAATGGGAAGATGTAAGGACATCTTTGAACAACACTCATTGTCTCTTGCTATTGGAATACAGAAACAGTTGACTTCTCTAATCCTGTTAAGCCCAAAATTTCTGAACCTTCTCCCATTTTTAAATTATAGAACTAACACATAAATTAGGCAGAGATAACTTCCCTTAGCAAAGCTCTATTCAATTTTGTTTCTTCTGGAAAAATGGCCCATTCTTATTTGAGCTCATAACTTCTTTAAACCTTTTTTTTTTTTTTTTTTTTTTTTTTTTTTTTTTTGGGTACGTGGGCCTCTCTCTGTTGTGGCCTCTCCCATTGCGGAGTACAGGCTCCGGACGCACAGGCTCAGCAGCCATGGCTCACAGGCCCAGCTGCTCCGCAGCATGTGGGATCTTCCCGGACTGGGGCACGAACCTGTGTCCCCTGAATTGGCAGGTGGACTCTCAACCACTGCGCCACCAGGGAAGCCGTAAACCTTTTTTAAAAGCAGCAAGGATTGTCAACAGTTGGGCTTTGTCCAGCTTTTTCCCATAGTACCAAAATATATCTAGTCTTATAGCCTGCCATTCAGGTTTTCACTGGTGATGGCATGACAAAGATCATCAGCTCTCCATCCTACAGTATTTTTTTTCTTACACTTTCCACCCTCCCAGTGAACTAATAGCCCATATTTTGAAATTTTTAATGGCAGTTCTACACCCCTACATACTTATTTTTTTTTGACTAAATTGTTGTAACAGATTCAAAAATCAGTGACTCAAAAAAGACAAAAATTTATTTTTTCCCTCATAACAATCCCTGAGGTAGGCAGTGATTTAGAGTAATTCTGCTCCAATGTGACCATTTAGAGACAAGTTCCTCCCTTGCTACAGTGCAGGACTTTCTAGCATTATCTGTATTTGCATGGTAGACACTAGATCATCACTTTGAGTGCATTTTACCATCTGAGGAGGTGACTGTGAACAAGTCCAAGATGAGATTTTTCTTCATTTGGAAATGAACTCAAGGTTGATACCCTCACTTCTGTGCACATCCCGTGTTTCCTGACACAGCCACAAGGACACAGCTAGCTGCAAGCGTGGCTGAGGAGTATATTTCACTCACTGTGTGGCCATTTGTCCACATAAAATATTTTCTTCTGGGAGAAATGAGAAGTAACACTTGTATAAGCAAAGGTATGGACTCTGGGAAAGTCCATTGAGATTGTTATCCATTATTTTGCACTATCCATTATTTTACAAATGTCTTGTATGTTTCATTTTCCCCTTTTAGAGTTTAGAAATTTAAAATTCCCTCTTGGTGTGTATGCATCATTTATGGTAGACAATAACTCAGCTTCTCTGTCATGGTCTCTCTCACTACTGTACTTTTACCCTCTCATCTTTATCAATTGAAATCAAAGTTGAAATCCATTTAGAAACATAGTAATGCTACTAGATAGTGTTTTTTGCTACTGGTCTTCATACAACACACTTTGGGAAACATAATTAGGCTTACTCGAGAGAAATTTATTGATTGTGAGGGAGGCAGGGAACAGCTGCTCTCAGTGTCTTCATTTTCTCTTCATCCTGATACATGGGACTGCTTCTTGTTAATCACATTCTCATGATTGCCAATTCTTGATCATCCTGGAAATCAGTGAAAAAACTTTCAGGACCTTGCTATACATATGTGAGGGTTCTCAACTGGGTTGCATCATTTCTATTAAGATAAACATCCAGCCACCAGCCAATTACTTTAGACTTCTACAATCTCAAGTCTTAGAAGATGGGGAGAAAAACTTACTACCATATTTTTCTTAGAGAATTTGTATATAATTATCCTGGGCAATGAAGCCCAGGTTATCTTTTTTTATCCCAGCTACATTACACTGAAATTGAATTAGTGCATTATCAGTTGCCTCCCAGAAAGATAAAAATGGCCAAACTTCTGTCCATCTCTCTTTTCATCTCTAATATACAGACTTTTATTTTATTTTTTGCTTCTCTTTCCTTACTATCAATGAAATCTCAAGTATTTAATATAATGAGACCTATGGGATTGCCTTGAAGGATAATAACAACCAAATAATTTTAGGCCTTTCTTTCTTCCTTCCAACCTAACTCTTTGGCATCTATCACCCACCCTCAGACCTTATGCAATTTGGTATTTGATATTAAGCCATTTTCTTGCCACACTTTTATATACTTAGAGGAATTAGTATATCGATATAATTTATAAATTTATATATACAAATTATATATGTAAATATATATGTATAAATATATAAGCTTATAAATTAAGGTTCAGGCAGAGAACTTTATTTTTCTATGTTAATTAGCTTAATTTGGGTAATCATCTCACAACATATATATGTATATATAATCAAAACATCATGATGTAAAACTTACATTTAGAAAAATTTTTAGTTGTCAATTATACCTCTTTAAATCCAGGAAAAAAAAAGTAAAAGAAGAATGGATGTAAAATTTAACTAAACATCTTTTCATCTTATTTTCAGATAGTCCAGTGAACTCAATAATATGATCAGTTTCTGATTTGAACTATCCTTTTCTTTTTTGCACTTTTGTCAGGTTTTGATTCATTGTTTTAATTACTTTGTAAAAGAATTTGAACATTTTCTTTTTATTCCATTGGAGTCATCTCCTTTTTTTTTAACATCTTTATTGGAGTATAACTGCTTTACAATGTTGTCTTAGTTTCTGTTGTATAACAAAGTGAATCAGCTAAATATATACATATATCCCCATATCCTCTCCCTCTTTCATCTCCCTCCCACCCTCCTTATCCCACCCGTCTAGGTGGTCACAAAGCACCAAGCTGATCTCTTCATGGGATGCAGCTGTTTCCCACTACCTATCTATTTTACATTTGGTAGTGTATATATGTCAGTGCTACTCTCTCAATTCGTGCCAGATTACACTTTCCCCTCTCCATGTCCTCAAGTCCATTCTCTATGTCTGAGTCTTTATTTCTGTCCTGCCCCTAGGTTCATCAAAACCATTTTTTTTTTTTTAGATTCCATATATATGTATTAGCATATGGTATTTGTTTTTCTCTTTCTGACTTACTTCACTCTGTATACAGACTCTAGGTCCATCCACCTCACTACAAATAACTCAATTTCATTTCTTTTTATGGCTGAGTAATATTCCATTGTATAGATGAGGTAGAGAACTTTAAATGAATGAGCTTATTTGAGTGAAAAATACAGTGTATCACAAATATTTGTAGATACCTAAATAAAATTAAAATATCATTAATTATCCAAATACTAAGCTAAATTAAAATAATTTCCACTCTTTGTATAGTGTTTTTTAAAATTATGACTTGGTAACATTAGGCTAAGCATCTAGCAAGATATTAAGTGAGAAGAAATAGCTTATGTGTTTGAGAAGCCTAGGGACATACTGTGGAAGAGTTGGAAGGGAGTATAAATATAATTTCAGTGTTTGGAAGTGAAGATGAAATTGATGTATATTTCTTAAGGTAATTGCATTAAAACCCACACACAATTGAGCAGATTGTCATCTTATGTAGCACTGTTCTTGGAAATAGACCTTTTATAACTCTCCTCTTGAAGTGTCATACTTGTGCTTTAGAGGAAATTTGATTTATATAATTGGAGGACAGAGATTAAGTACTGAGGTGGGGTGAGAAAATCATAGCACTCTTTGTCAATAACCTGTATTTTTCTTACTGAATATTCTTCTTTGAATTCTATTTGATATTATTCTATTATTATTTATGTTCAAATATGTGACTTATGCCTAGAGATTCTTGGAATATTACCTTAGCACACATTTTGCATTCAAATTCTATATAAGTTTTTGGGTTGACTCCTCCTGAATACAGTAATATTGATCGCTGTCTAAATCTATTGCAGTGTGCCTGAGTACTATGACTATGGTCATGGAGTAAGTGAGGATGCCTATGACAGCTACGGTAAGACCTTTACTTTACTAAAACTGTGAAATCAAAACATCCATCAGTCACTGACAACTCAGAAATTACTTCTATCTTTCTCTCCCCCAGTTTTTACAGAAGTCTAGACTACATTGATTTATGTAATTCCAGGGTGAGATTTGATGTAGAGAGCCAGGGCCAAAGTATTGGACAGATCCATTTTGATCAAAATTTCAAAAGCAATTAATCACAATCATAGAAAACTTTCAACAGCAACAGTTTCACTGTGTCTATTGTCTGATTCATTGATATGACAGCAATGCTGTCTTTCTGCTATCACAATGATCATACAGTTAAAAGATTTTAAAACTTTGAAGGGCAGAAATTGTAACTTTTAAGTTATTTTTATAGTATGTGTAGTTCCTGAAAGTGCTAAATAATGATTGACTCATAAGAATTAATAGTCAATAAAAATATCAGTCTATAAAATTAATTTCAAAATTACATTGTTTAATTTAAAAACCACTTAAAGTTAACAATTCAGTAAGATTTATTGAGTGCCTATGATATATCATTATAGTACATCACTCTAGAAGTGTAGTTTCTGGTTCCTGAAAATATATGTGCAGCATCACCAGTTGATTGCCTTGAAAAATAACATTCATTTAAATGTTCCCAAGTCCTGGATTTTTATTAAAATAATACCAAGGCCACTCTGTTCTTCTTTATGAGGATCAGTAAAGGAGATGATGAACATTTCCTGTGTTCAGGTCTCCACATGATGGTGTAGTGCTCCATCAGGACAGGGAAGGGAAGGTCCAAACATCAGAGAAAAAGTAGTGCACCCTACTTGGAACCAGAGGTACCAAATCAACTCACTTCTCTGGTGACTCTCATGAGGCCAACTCAGAAGTAGGAGCATAAAAATAAGCCACCATCACAATCACTGCTATACATAAGCTGAGTATATACATATATTTTCTTATTTTTTCTTTATAATATATTGAAATTTGAAGTATTTTATCTCCATTTTATAGCAAAAATGCACATTTGTCTTTTGTGCACAAAGGTATTGTCAGTCTCCAGGAATATGATGGTGTACACGATAGATATTTTCCCTCCCTGGTTCCTGCTGTCTACTGTTGAGAAACGTATTTCTACATATAAAAATTGTGCCAAACTATAAACCATGTGATTCAGTAGAAGGTCAGAGAACATTACTCATGTAACAGATATTTGTTTAATGGCTAACACATGTAAGCCATTGTTCTCAATCCTGGAGATACTGCAGTGAGCAATCACTTAAAGCTTACATTCTAATGAGAAGATATATTATTATTTATAAATCACTTTTTTAAATGGAATTTTTATTTGCAAAATACAGTCATTGTTTTTTACACATGGCACATAAATTTGTGGAAAAATCCCCTATGAGCTTTACTTTACAGAATTGCATGCACTGAAATCAATGGCAGAGATGAATTTGATGATATCTGACTGCATAGTTGGTAATAGGGTATATTTCTTTTTTATTTTTTTAACTAAACTCTAGAGTTTATTTAGATTTTACTACTTTTTCCATCAATATTTTCTTTCTGTCCCACGGTTCAATCCAGAGTACCACATTGCATTTAGTTGTCATATTTCTTTATTCTTTCTTGTTTTTTAAAAAAAATTTTATTGGAGTATAGTTGATTTACAATGTTGTATTAGTTTCAGGTGTACAACAAAGTGAATCAGTTATACATATACATATATCTACTCTTTGTTTTTTTTAGATTCTTTTCCCATGTAGGCAATCTATTTCTTAATTATTTACATTTAAAATGTTAATGCCGTGTAATTAAGGCAATAGGGGAAAATATGTGAATACAAACTATTACTTCTCAGACCTTCTAATGGAGATGCAGGAGTCATCGTAAGGAGAGCTGGGCTCACCTCTGTTACCTATTGTGGGCTTTCCTGGGTGTTGAGCTCTTCTGCTTCTGCCAAGTCTAGAGACAAACAGCCTCTATCACTTTATAAGCTGCTCCTGCTCATAAGCACTAGCTTTCATTCTGGGTTAAATTAAAATTTACCAACAAGCAATTCTCTGCACACAGAAAGCAGTTGAAAAATATTTTCAATAAAGTAATGAAGAAAATGTGCATAGTGGTTTGACTGTCTGGACAGAGTAAGAATTATATTAGGCAGGAAATTTTAAGTAATAGCTTTTACTACCTAAAATTTCAGCCAAATTGGCCATATTCTTAATGTTGAATGATTAGACACATTTATGCCTACAAGTAGACTTCGCTTTAGGGTCTTAACTTTTTCTTTGGCCACCAGGATCTGTGGCCATTTTCTGGCATCATTGAGCAAGCATTAATTCAAGAATACACTTCACATTCAAGGTGGTTTCACTCTTTTCTTGTAAATGTTGATATATCAGCCCTCTATGCATTCTGATTTGGAAAGTGCTTCTTGATTTTCACATCAGAAGGGTAATTATTCAGGACAGAATTTATTTACTTATTTAGTTGGAGTCAGGAGGTGACATTCCAGGGACAGAGGCAAAGAAATCTAACCAACAAATTGCAACATTTTTTCATGGTGCAGCTTATAGGAAACAGTGGAGTTCAGCAAGGAGGCTGCTCACAAGTCAGGGCCCCTTCCACCAGCAGCCCAGGGCCCCTTCCATTACCCCATAATCCTCTCTGCTCACTGTGACTCATCTCTGCTACACTGGGTCACAGAATGCAGTCAGGAACTCTGAACAAAAGAGACTGTTTTAAATGACGCACATGTGAAAGTAATTATATATTTTTAGAAAAAAATTTTTTTGCCACAGGTGCTAAGAAATCTAAGTAGATACATAGGTATAATTAATCTAAAAATAAGTTATTTTTTCTTACTCTAAAAATAATACACATACACTATAGAAAATTTAGGTTAAAAAAAGAAAATTTAAATTACACTCCTATATTTACGCATTCTTTACTGTTTGTTACATATTTTACCAATTTTTAAATGCATCATGATACATATCTTATTTAAAAAGAAAACACAATATAGACTGCTTTATAAAAATTCCTAAAAGATTTTTCCACCATAAAAGTTTTTTTTCAGTTCTTAATCATTAGGATAATACCTTGACAAAATACAGAATTTAATTTATTTTCATATGTGCCATTATAATTAACCATAAATATGTAGATTTGAAAAGGAACACTCCTTTTATAGCACCAGAAAATAAAGAAACTGCTTGCATGTCAATCCATATAGTCATGATATTTAAATATGGTTATGGATATTTAAATCCGTATAGTCATGATATTTAAATTTCGGGAGTGTCCATGTTCCCATATTCTATACAGAAAATAGAAAAAGGTCAAATGATGAGAAATAGAGCTTAGCATCATAAAGCCTAATTAAATTAATATGCATTATATGCCCTCAGATTTTGGTATTAGGTGATTATGTAAAGGGTACTTTAAGTTCAGGATTCTTGCTCCATAGGTTGCTCAGCCTGTCACGTCCAAATGGGCAGATGATAACATTTAAATATGCACGTGGAGCAGTGATTTGAGGACTGACTCATGTCAATTATAGATTGATGTTTTTCACAAATTTTCCATACCTCACATGTTAACAAGTATCCATTTATAGTTTATATTTAATGAACTGTGCACAATCTTTTAAATTAATAACATTTACTCCAAAATGTAAATCTTGCATCTCTGCTTATTCGCTTATATTTTGAATTACTAATTCCTCTCTGTTACGCTTTGGTTGTGCCATGGATACAGATCTGTATTTTTATAAAACAAAGAGCTCCAATTCTCAGTTTCCTGGCAACACCCAGACTTAGGTAGTATGTGAGGAGGCTGCCCCAGAACCTTCTTTGCTGCTCAGGCTTGAGGAAAGAGCTGTGGGAGAGGAACAGGGAATGCTCTCCAGAATAACGGTATCCTGCATTCGAAAGACTCATGGATGGAATCTCTCATTCAGGATTCCTTCAAAAATAGTTTGAAATAAACCAGTAGAAGTAAAAATCCAGTCATTCAGTGTGACACTTCAATCTGAATCTTTATACATCATGTTTAATGTATCACCAGATTGAAATTGTATTTGTCTCTTTTGGGCCCATAATTCATGGTGAAGTAACAAATACGCTGACTTCTGTGAATATCATGTATCCCTTTGAGCTTCATTGCAATTAAATTATTCAAGTTATTTTTGTAAAATTTAACATTGAATATTAAGCTATTTTCTTACAATGATGTAAATATAAAATTTTAAATATTAAGCATTTTAAATAAATATTAGTATGAAAATATGATACAATTATATTTACTTCATATATAAAATATAATATATAATAATTTACTTATATTATTTATTGTATTAATGATTACTAAACATTTCATTAATGTTAAATTATTATTAAATTAATATTTAAGTATTAAATTTCTGATAACAAACTTTTTGGAACATGAATATTTGACTTACAGAAATCCCAAATCAGTTTTTGCAGTTTTAAAATATTTCCTACCTTATCAGAATCATTATAATTGTTTCGGATAAGTCTGAATAGCTGATAATTCAATAAGGGTGCATTTTAAGTACAGTGCACAGATCAGCTTGTCTTATCAATGCTTCAAATAAGAAACACCCTCTAATCTGAGATTGATAGCTAAGAATGGACAGTAATATTCTATTCTCAGAGAAGAGAGCTGTTTATTAAAATGTATTTAATGGATGAACTGAAGAGCTAATTATAGGTCTATTCTGTAGTGACATTTTAGATGACACGTGTGTGGAATCAAGGAGGGTAATATTAATACACTGTCTTGAAATGAATGAAAGCAAAAAGAATTTTTGTACCCTATTCTAGGGCATTTGAGTGCCTCACTTCAAATTGATTGCAGAACACAAATGCATTCATTTTGTGATGAGGAGTTGGAATGATTATTATCCCCATGTGAAAATAAGCCCTGCTTTGATTAAGCTGTGAAAACAGCAAAGGAAAATGAAACTACCTGGCAATCATGCCACCA